TCCCCGGTCCGGTACGGGGGCAACACTGAGGGTTGCGACCCGTTGCCGGACACAGAAAAAAAAGACAAAAGACAAAAGACAAAAAAAAAAAAGAAAGAAAAGAAATTTTCCCATTTCATCTATATTAACAAATCTATTGGCATAAAATTATTTTAAATATTCACTTACCCTTTCAATGTTTGTAGGAGCTATAGTAATGTCCTCTCATTTCTGATATTGATAATTTGTGACTTTTCTCTTTTATTTTTGATCAGTTTGGCTAGAGGTTTATTAATTTTATTGATCATGTCAAAGACCAGCTTTTGATTTCATTGATTTTTCTCTACTGGGTTTCATTTCACTGATTTCTGCTGTTTTTTGTTTCCCCACTTCTGTCTGTCTAAGCTTTAATTTGCTCTTCTTCTAGTTTCTTAAGGTAGAAGCTTAAGTCATTGATTGATACCTTTTCTTTTGTATATAAAACATGTATGCATTTGGTGCTAATGAATTTCCACTCCAAACAATTTTAGCTGCTTCCCCACAAATTTATGTTACACTTTTATTTTTATTCAGTTCAAAATGCTTTCTAATTTCTCCTTTGATTTATTCATTGCCTCATGAATTATTTTAGAAATGTGCTATTTAGTTTGAGGGAATTTTCCAGATATCTTCCAGATATCTTTGTTATTGATTTCTAATTTGATTTCATTATGCTCAGAGAACATACTTTATGTGATTTCAATCCTTTTAAATTTATTATGACTTCTTTTACGACCTGTAATATGGTCCACCTTCGTAAATGTTCCATGTGCACAGGAAAAGAATGAATATTACGCTGTNTTGCCTCATGAATTATTTTAGAAATGTGCTATTTAGTTTGAGGGAATTTTCCAGATATCTTTGTTATTGATTTCTAATTTGATTTCATTATGCTCAGAGAACATAGTTTATGTGATTTCAATCCTTTTAAATTTATTATGACTTCTTTTACGACCCATAATATGGTCCACCTTCGTAAATGTTCCATGTGCACAGGAAAAGAATGAATATTACGCTGTGAGTTCTATAAATATCAATTAGGTTAAGATGGTTGATAGCATTACTCGAGTATTCTATACCCTTACTGATTTTCTTTATACCTGTTCTACCAAGAGCACTGTGTTGAAATCTCTAGCTCTAACTGTAGATTTGTCTATTTCTCTTTGCACTTCTGTCAGTTTTTGCTTCATATATTTTGAAGCTCTATAATTAGGGGCATAAATATTTAAAATTCTTATTTCCTCTGACTAATTGACCCCTGTAGCATAAAATGACCCTCTTTATCAGTATAAAATATTGATATTGGGACTTACTCCTAAAGACACTTAGCAGGTGACACTGAAGAAACTATTTAGTTGACATGATTTTTCTTTCCCATCTATGAATCATGTATTTATAAAACTCTTACCGTATCATCAAGACCATCTATATGCAAAACCACAGTTTTGGCACGTTTGTTTGTAGTTCCCAGAAAAAACTGAGCTTTCCTTCGACGTGAATTCATTTCATTAAAACTATCACCATCTGCCATATTGGAGGATTGAAGAATGTCATAGATTTCAGAGGCCAGAAGTTTTGTTTCTCCCGGAGTTGTAGTCCTAAGGAAAAAAAAAAAAAAAAAACATCAATTAATAAAGTAGTCTTGTTACTGCTACTGATTCTGTGAAATACAATTTTTCTCAACTTTGAGGAGCCTTATTTCCTTCATTCTGATGCTTTGTTTCATTTAAAAGCAATACCAGTGAATCCTAGAATAATAATGTAGAAAAAGCATCTATAAGAGTCTTCTAATTTCGTTTTAAATCCCCGTGATTCACTGAGATTCAAAACCCATCACTATAGTGGTATAAAAGCCCATTCAATCAAAACTATTAATTAAAGAGGAAATCAACTAACAACATCAGGTTATAACATGTCCCTGGATTATATATAACTAACATTCAACTCTCAATTGGAAAGCACCTTGACCTTCAAGAAAATAGAACATGTAAAAATTCAAAAGGAGAAACAAAATTAGGATAGGATCATTTACATTACCAGATATTTTATGAAATTTCTTAGTACACTCAAACTGATTCTGTTTCTTAATTTACATTTTTACTTATCTTTTAGAAAGCATGTATATATCATAAAACCACAACTCAAACAAAATTTTCATTCTTAAACTCTTAAATCCTACTGCAACTCCTCACATCAACATCTACTGCAATACTATCCAACAGATCTTTCTGCAGTGACAGCAATGGTCTGTATCTGCCCTCTCCACTCACATGTGGCTACTGAGCACTTGAAACGTGGCTAGTGCAACTAAAGAAAGAAATTTCATGGGCCGGCCTGTGGCTCACT